TTGAGCCCAGGAGATTGAGGTTGCTGTGAGCTAGGCTGACACCACGGCATTCTAGCCCGGGCAGCAGAGTGAGACTCTGTCTAAAAAAAAAAAAAAAGAAAAAGAAAGAATGGACTTATGATGGGGCTATGTCCAGATAAACCCCTGGTACATGGAAAATATCCTAAGTTGCAAACACATTTAATACACCTAACCTACTGAACATCACAGTTAAGCCTAGCCTACTTTCAGTGTGCTCAGAACACTCACATTAGTCTTCAGTTGGGTAAAATTATCTGAAACAAAGCCTGTTTTATAATAAGGTGTTGAATATCTCATGCAAATGATTGAATACTGCACTGAAAGTGAAAAACACAATGGGTGTATGGGTACTTGCTACTGAAAGCGAATTATAAAGTTGAAAAATGGTAAGTTGAGCCATTGTAAGTTGGGAGGACCATCTGTATACTGAGAGGTGAGCCACAGGGTTTGTGTAGATTTAGCTTTAGTACAAACCATGCAGCAGTGTGTACGTACTCTCCCACCACCGTGTGTGAGAGTTTCAGTCGCTCTCCGTCTGTCTTTTTCATTCCAGCCATTCCGGTGTTGCGTGGTGGCATTTTACTGTGGTTTTCCTTTTATTTCCCTGATGACAGGTGACAATCGAGCACCTTTTCTTATGTTTGTTCCATTTGGATGTCCTCTTTTGTGAAGTCATTTTTCAGGTCTTTACTAATTTTTCCATTAGGTAGCCTATGTTCCTGATTTGTAGGTGATCTTTATATATTCTAGATCCAACAACTTTGTCGGATAAATAGTCCCCTTTAGCCACGGTTTCCCTTTCTGCAGTTTCAGTCACTTGCAGTCCACTGCAGCCTGAAAAGAGCCAATGGAAAATTCCAGAAATAAACAATTCATAAGTTTTAAGTGGCATACCATTCTGAGCAGCACGATGAAATCTTGGCACCATCCGGCTCCCTCTCACCCAGGATGTGACTCATCCCTTTGTCCAGCAGATCCACACTGTGTACAAGTGTGTTATGTGGTTGCTAATCACTTAGTAGCATTCTCAGTTATCAGATCGAAGGAGCATAGTGAATGTCGTGTTTGGTGCCATCTGAGGTTTCAGACATCCTTTGGCAGTCTTGGAACATCTCCTGCAGATAAGGGGGACTGTTGTATATGTTTGTAAATACCTTCTCCCCCTCTATGGTCTACCTTTTTACTGTTTTAGTGGTATATTTTAATAAACAGAAGTTTTTAATTTAAGTCCAGTGTATCCATTCTGGCCCTCCCTTATCATTAACACTTTTTGTGCAAGGAAATCTTTGCCTACTTTAAGTCAGAATGCTGTTCTGTTTTTCTCTAGAAGCTTTGTTGTTTTGTTTTTTACATTTAAATCGGCAGTCTATTGAGAATGTATTTTCGTGTGTGGTGTGAGGTAGGGATCGAGATAACTTTTTCTTTTCCAAATAGATATCCAGTTGACCCAGAACTCTATTAAAAAGACCATTCCCCCACCACACCCTACACCACTCTACTGTAATGTCTTCTTCATCTTAAATCAGGTGACTCAATGGTAGATTTTTAAAAACACAGACATTTGATCTAGTCACATCTTGGCTCAATTCCTCCCATGGCTCCATTCTCACTTGGCTTGATCTGAGTCTATCATTATCTTTCTATCATATCCTGCCGCCCACTCTTGCTCACTTCACTCCCACTCCTGCTATTCCTCAAACACACCAAGCACTGAAAAACCCACACGGTGACTTAAATAAATAGGAATATAATTCTCTCCTATAACAGGAAATCTGGAAGAAGGTAGTTATTGCCTTTGATGTGGGGGGGGGTCTCCTGGTTTTTTTCTTCGTGGTTGCAAAGTGGCTGCTGCAGCTGCAGCCATCATGCCTTATGTTCAGAGCCAAAGAGAGGGAAAGGGGGTGGTGCCCGATCCTTTTAGCAAGTAGAGAAAAGCTTTCCCAGAAATCCTCTTGCCGACCAGAGAACTGCATCAAAAGCTACCCAAGCTGCAGGGAGGCTGGGAAAGTGCTTGGCTGGCACATTGATGCCCAGAACCAAATTGTAGATCTCTGAGGGAAGAAGGAAGGAATGAATGTGTGCTGGGGACGTGAGTGACTGGGTTTGCATTTGGTGTCCTTGAATAATCAGCAGATGACTGGCCTGGACAAAGATGCTAATTGGTGGGAGGAGCCTCTATCCAGAGGGGAGGGATGTGTGAAGAAGACACTAATCTTAGTGGTTATCAGATCATTAGGGTAACAATTTTTTCTGACAACTCTTCCTTCCCTGGAGCTGAGCGTGGGGATTTAGATAACAAGGACTGCCTGTGTGGCAGGGGTTCTTAATGGCAGAGTCTTTGAAGTGGCTTTGAGAAATCATCAAGCATGCACATTTGAGGTGTTGATATATCTGCAAGGCTGCCCTCCAAAATGACTCCGCTGAGTCGTACCCACACCCCAGGAAATAAAAGAGCTTGCCTCAAATGCCCTTGGCAACTCTGACCATTGCCCGACTCATGGGCAAAAGCAAGGACTTTCAAAATTTAAATCTTCCTCCTTTCCTTTTGAGGGACGTTGAACATCCTTTCAGGTGGTTTTTGATTATATTTTTCCTCTTCCATGAATTGCTTGTTCTTTTCTTTTGCCCACTTTCCACTTTTGGGAGTTATTGATGCTTGGGAGATGTTTGTGTATTATAGATTATCTACTTTATTATATATATATATATATATATATATAATAATATTTTTTTTTTTTTTTTTTTTTTGAGACAGAGTCTGCTTTGTTGCCCAGGTAGAGTGAGTGCTGTGGTGTCAGTCTAGCTCACAGCAACCTTCAAACTCCTGGGCTCAAGCGATCCTCCTGCTCAGCTCCCACAGTAGCTGGGATATCAGGCATGGCACCACCATGCCTGGCTAATTTTTTCAGTATATATAGTTAATTGGCCAATTAATTTCTTCTATTTTTAGTAAGAGATGGGGTCTCGCTCTTGCTCAGGCTGGTTTCGAAATCCTGACCTAGCTATCCGCCTGCCTTGGCCTCCCAGAGTGCTAGGATTACAGGCGTGAGCCATCGTGCCCAGCCAATATAATTTTTTTTTATTAGAGACAGGTCTTACTAAGTTGCCCAGGCTGTACTCAAACTCCTGGGCTCAAGCCATCTTTGCACCTCAGCCTCTCTAGTAGCTGAGACTGAAGGCATGCACCACTGTGCCTGGCTGTCTCTGAGATGTTTTGTCTTTTAACTTGGATTGTTTTTTGTTTTTTAATAATGAAGTTACACCTGCTGTGGTGGCTCACGCCTATAATCCTAGCACTCTGGGAGGCTGAGGCAGGTGGATCGTTTGAGCTCAGGAGTTTGAGACCAGCCTGAACAAAGGTGGACTGTCTCTACTAAAAAATAGAAAGAATTTAGCTGGACACTAAAAATATTAGAAAAAATTAGCGGGCATGGTGGCACTGCCTGTAGTCCAGCTACTCGGGAGGCTGGGGCAGCGGATCGCTTGAGCCAGAGTTTGAGGTTGCTGTGAGTAGGCTGATGCCACGGCACTCATTCTAGCCCGGGCAACAAAATGAGACTCTGTCTCAAAAAAAAAAAAAAAAAAAATGAAGCTAAAGTATGTGGTCACATCTGTCACTGTGTTTCCTATGACCTCTGAATTTCCTATCATGCTTAGAAAAACCTTTCCCATTTCAAGATTATACATATATACATATATTACATATATATCTCTTTCTATATTTTGTTGTAGAATTTTAATGGGTTTTTGATGGTTAGATCCTTAGTTTGGAAGACATTTTGAACTCTAAGAGCTTTATTATCAGTATAATCCTCCTTAGTTGAATGTTCTCTTCTTGTTCCATGAAGGCAAAATACAAATCAGCACAGATATTCAGTTTTTAATATTTTAAAGCATAATATTACTCATGAAAAGTATTTTGGGGCCGGGCGTGGTGGCTCACGCCTGTAATCCTAGCACTTTGGGAGGCTGAGGCAGGTGGATTGCACAAGGTTAGGAGTTTGAGACCAGCCTGAGCAAGAGCGAGACCTGTCTCTACTAAAAAAATAGAAAGAAATTAATTGGCCAATTAACATATATAGAAAAAATTAGCCGGGCATGGTGGCACATGCCTGTAGTCCCAGCTACTCGGGAGGCTGAGGCAGGAGGATTGCTTGAGCCTAGGAGTTTGAGGTTGCTGTGAGCTAGGCTGACGCCACGGCACTGTAGCCCGGGCAACAGAGTGATACTCTGTCTCAAAAAAAAAAAAAAAAAAAGAAAGAAAAAGAAAAGCCAACAGGATAAAATATATATTTAGAGTTAATAAATAAGCCTTTTAAAAAGATCCTACCATACACGTTGCTTTGCAACACGTTTTTTTGCACTTAATGGATATTAAGATATTTTTGGGTCACTGTATATTTGTATAAAGTATCAAGTTTTATTTCAACAATATTACTTTTAATGACCTTAGTATTACATTTTTCTATTGGTATGCTTTCTTTTTTATTGATCTGCAAGATCTGTTTGTATATTAAGTATATTGACCACTGTGTGGTATATATGTGTGGTATATTCTGCGTAGTATATACATGTTACGAATATATATTTCTAGCATATTGCTTCCCTTTAAATTTGTTTATTGTGGTGTTGCCAATCAGAAACTTCAAATTGATTTAAAGCCAAACCATCGATCTTTTCCGTGATGATTTATGACTTTAGGGATCCCATTCGAATGTCCCTTCCTAACCAGACATCAGATATTCATTTGTATTTTTGTTATTGTCACAGTTTTATGGGTTTTTTTTTTTTTTCTTGTATTTAAGGCTTTAGTCCATTTGGAGTTTATTCTAGTATAAGGTTTGAGCCGGGGAATCTAAGTTAATTTTTTACCAAAAAGTTTACCTAAATATGACCCTAGGGTAAGGGAGGGCTTCTGGGTCCAGTTTTATCTTGAAGAAATGTTGGTGACTATCTCTGTATTCCTCCATCCCTGCTAGGCCTTGGAAACTCGGGCCAGCCCTGGCCACACCCCAGGCTGTGTCACCTTTGTCCTGAATGACCACAGCATGGCCTTCACTGGAGATGCCCTGCTGATCCGAGGGTGTGGACGGACAGACTTCCAGCAAGGTGACCGGCTTCTTATTCGGCCCAAGATCTTCATGTAGTTACATGTGTGTCAGGGTTTTAAGTATGAGTGACAAGAATGAATGAATGGGTATTAGATTTTTCAGGAGGGGTCCGTATTTAGATTCAAGGAGCTTAGTTGCCGGAGTATGGGAGGAGTTAGATTCAGGGGTTTAGCTGTGGGGGGACAGGGAGATTCAGGGGAGTATTAGTTATCTATTGCTGTGTAACAAATAGCCCCAAAGCCTGGCGGCTTAAAACAATGATTAGCATTATTATCTCCCAGAGTTTCTGAGAGTCAGGAATCTGGGATCAGCGTGGCTGGGTGGTTCTGGCTCCGGGTCTCTCATGAGTTTGCGGTTAAGCCATTAGTCAGGATTGCAGTCATCAGAAGGCTCGACTGGGGCTGGAGGATCCACTTCCAAAGCGGCTGACTCACGTGGCTGGTGAGTTACCAATGGTTGTTCTCAGGACGCCTCGCTTACTCACACCGGGAGCTCTCCACAGGGCTGCTCGAGTGCCTTCAGGACAAGACAGCTTCGTTCCCACAGAGGGGATGATCAGAGACAGACAGACAGACAGACAGATGCCCTAATTTTTTTTATGACCTAGACTCAGAAGTTACAATCTGTCTTTTCTGTAACATCCTATGTTTACTGTTAGATAGAAGTCATTTAGTCCAGATCACAAAGTCAGGGAAGGGGGAATTATTTCACAGAGAAATGTATAAGAGAATGTGTGGCATATTTTTAAACCACCATAAGGGATTTAGCTGCTGGAGGTCTGTTTAGGGTAGGGGTGGAATTCTATTCAAGAGTTTGTGTTCTGGGGTGGTAAGATTCAAGGATTTTTTTTTTTTTTGAGACACAGTCTCACTTTGTTGCCCAGGCTAGAGTGAGTGCCATGGTGTCAACCTAGCTCACAGCAACCTCAACCTCCTGGGCTCAAGCAATCCTGCTGCCTCAGCCTCCCGAGTAGCTGGGACTACAGGCATACGCCACCATGCCCGGCTAATTTTTTCTATATATATTAGTTAGCCAATTAATTTCTTTCTGTTTATAGTAGAGACAGGGTCTCGCTTTTGCTCCGGCTGGTTTCAAACTCCTGACCTTGAGCAATCCTCCTGCCTTGGCCTCCCAGAGTGCTAGGATTACAGGCGTGAGCCACCACACTCGGCCAGGATTTTTTTTTTTAAGAGACAGGGTCACACTCTATCACCCAGGCTGGAGTGCAGTGCTGTGATCACAGCTCACTACAGCCTCGATCTCCTGGGCTCCGGGGATCCTCCTGCCTCAGCCTCCCTCTCATGCTGAGATTACAGGCATGAGCCACCACGCCTGGCCAGATTCAGGGATTTAGCTGCTAAGAGGTTGTTAGTCGGGGGGTCTAATTGCTAGGGAGCAGTGAGACATTTGGGGTTCAGCTGCTGGGGGCAGTGAGATGCAGGGATTTCCCTATGGAAAGAGGGTTTAGTTTCAGAGTCTCAGGGTGTGGCTGCCCTTTGAGCATGTGTGTGAATGTGGGGTTGACACCAGGTTCGGAGGATTTCGCTGCCTTGCAGGAGGAAGTGATATGAGATGGCTGTGGGAAGCCAGGGGCCAGGCCTCTTGCTCCCTCTTCCCTCTATCCTCATCTCTGCATCTCAGTCTCTGTCTTTTTCTCTCTGAGGCTTCCAATCTCGCATTTATCCCTTCTCGACACAGTCATGACATTGAAGAATTAGGCTGGAATAAAAGGTGAAGACAGGTTTGCCCCGACCCAGCTTAGCACTCAGAGCTTCCTGTTGGAACTATGGCTCCACTCTCCTCCTTGGCTTATGTCTTGGTTTCTTAACTTCTAGTCCACCTTCCTTGCCTAGATGCCTTTCTTGGTATCCCAGGGTGAGGGCACTACGCCTTGGTGCTCTAAGGTCCCATCCCAACCTGTAACTCAGCCATGCTGAATTTCTCACCGTTCCCTGTGTTTGCTTTTCCACCTGCCTAGAATGTCCCTCCCCTTCTCTATCTGGACAAAGTGGTATTGGCAGGATGTGAGGGGATGAGGGAGACGGTTTAGCTACAGTGATTTTACCCTCCCACCCTTTTCTTTTCTTTTCTTTCTTTCTGTTTTTTTTTTAGAGATAGGGTCTCACTCTGTCACCCAGGCTGAAGTGTGGTGGCACAAACATAGTCACTGTAACCTCTAAGTCCTGGGCTCAAGGGATCCTCTCACCTACCCTCCTGAGTAGCTGGGAACACAGGTGCACACCACCATGCTGGGATCATTTTAAAATTTTTTTGTAGAGACAGGGTCTTGCTATGTTGTACAGGCTGGTGGTGAACTCCTGGCCTCAAGTGGTTCCTGCCTTGGCTTCCCAAAGTGCTGGGATTACAGGTGTGAGCCACTGTACCTGGTCCCCACATTTGTCTTGAGGGAAGGAGGTAGGGTCTTCTCCCGTCCTGTTGACCTGCTCACCTCTGGCTTTTCTTCCCCAGGCTGTGCTAAGACCTTGTACCACTCGGTTCACGAAAAGATCTTCACGCTTCCAGGCGACTGTCTGATCTACCCTGCTCATGATTACCATGGTGAGGACTTCCTGGACGAGCTGGGGGCCTTACATTACTTTTCAAAGGGCTGCACAGGAGACCACAATTCCCAGAAATTCCTCTGGCCAAAAGGATTAAGTGCTTGAGTATGCTGTGTGTGGATGCAGATACCATAGGACTGTTAGAATTCTGTAGGGCACGGGTTTTCCTGGGACTTCCTGTAGATTTTAGGGAGCAGTGGGAAACTACATTTCCCATAGTGCCCATCGATTGGGACGGCAATCTCAGGAACGTACTCTGAAGAGCCTGCTGGTCCCAGGCCAGAGAGGCACCCCAAGGCCTCCTGGGAAATGCTGTTCTGGGAGGCCCGAGGCACTGCACCCATTGACTCTCCTTCCCCTCCCTTGGCCACTAGGGCTCACAGTGTCCACTGTGGAGGAGGAGCGGACTCTGAACCCTCGGCTCACCCTCAGCTGCGAGGAGTTTGTGAAAGTCATGGACAACCTGAACTTGCCCAAACCTTTGCAGATAGGTGAGTAGATAGGGGCCTGAACCCCTGGGTCTGAGGGGGGAGGGGCTGGGGCTGGACCCCTGGGTCTGAGGGGGGAGGGGCCGGGGCTGGACCCCTGGGTCTGAGGGGGGAGGGGCCGGGACTGGACCCCTGGGTCTGAGGGGGGAGGGGCTGGGGCTGGACCCCTGGGTCTGAGGGGGGAGGGGCAGGGGCTGGACCCCTGAGTCTGAGGGGGGAGGGGCTGGGGCTGGACCCCCTGGGTCTGAGGGAGGAGGGGCTGGGGCTGGACCCCTGGGTCTGAGGGAGGAGGGGCTGGGCCTGGACTCCTGGGTTTGAAGGAGTTGGCTCAGGGCTGGAACTCTAGTTCTCTAAAGAAGAAGGGCTCCTAGGATTTCTGGGTACCATTTGGGTCTGGGGTTCTACCTTGGCCCTTTGGTTTTAACCTTGGTTTCTTCCTTTCAGACATTGCCGTTCCAGCCAACATGCGCTGTGGGGTCCAGACCCCTCCTTCCTGACCTGCCTCTGTCAGGTGCTCATATCCATGAAGAATGCACTAGGTGGGGCGAGGGGAGAGGTGTCACCATCCTGCATCTCCTCTCTCACCCCACCCCCAAACCAGCCCCTGGAGCTTCTGAAATAAAACTTTTTTTGTTGCCATAAATCTGACTTCTGCCTGTTTTCTGGGGGAATCAGTTGGGTTTCCAGGCTGAGAGACTTGGGGCTAGTTCTGGTTCCCTGGAGAGGCCAGGGGAGCAGGGCAAGGTGAAGGTCTAGGGAGCCTGCAAGATTTCTAACTCACAAGATCAAAAGCATGTGCGTATCTGGGGCAGTCTTCTCATGGCCCTGCTTGGGCCACTTCCCTCTGTGAGCCCAGGGTTAGGGACTTCCCTTATCTAGGCCTCGGTTTTCTTATCAGTACATGGAAATAATAATAATTGGGTGTTGTGATGATCTGACAGTCCAGTTTGTGAGTATTTGGCACGCTGCACGAGCAGCGTTAGCTATTATTGTTACTATCATTTGGAATGATCGGGCTCTTCCTGACTTGGAGTGACAGTGTACATAATGGTAAAGAACGTGGATTTTTGATGTGTTAACGTTTTTTACAACATGGATAGACCTTGGGTACATTTATCCCCCTTGGCCTGTTTCACCAAGTATGAAACGGAGATAGTAATCCCTTTCTGGCTGGGCTGCTGTGAAGGTGAAATTAGACTAACATGTATAAATTATTTAGCATAGCTCTTGACATCTGATAATCCCTTTTCATACACCAGTTATTTTCCTGTTTTTGCCCAGAGAGGAAAAGGTCTGGCTGGAACCTTTAACCCCTGCCCTTCACCCCATAGCAACGTGGGAGAGGGGGGCACATTCCCTCTGTTTTGGGGCGGGTCTCTGACTCAGCTCAAGGTACCCCCTTCTCTTGTCCAGCTCCCCAAACCGGTTGGGGCCCTTCTAAAGGGCTCATTAGAGAGGAGAGGTCCCCATCTCCATTCCTGTCGTCCTTTCAGGACTCCCAGGGTCGGCATTAAGGAGGCACGTGTGTGTGTGTATATATATAGCAGTGGCCAAGACACCTGGCCCTCCAGCCCTCCAGGGGACAAGCGTGGGGGTGCTGGAGGCAGAGTGGGAGGTCGCGATGCTGGGTTCCCCAAGGGTGGGGCCGGTGGGGCCGGGATGGCCGGATGCCTAGGCTGCGGGCGGGGCTGCCGGTCGCTCCCTCCTCCCTCGGGAGCTGTTGGACCTGTTGTCCCCCCCTCCACTTCCGGGCTGCTGGGGAGGGGGACGGGCGGCCTCTCGCTCCTCTCTCCTCCCCAGACACCTGTCTCGTAGGCAGAAGCCGCAGTGCCCTGAGCCCAGAGCGGAGCGCCGAGCCGGAGCTGGTGAGGGGCCGAGGCTGCGGGGAGGAGGGCTGGAGTTTGGGAATCTCAGGGGCTCAGGCGACTGGCTTGTTCAGAGAGGGGGAGACTGGGAGCCCCCACTGCTGGATCCCTGGGGAGGGCGGCATGGGCGCCGCTGCCCTGCGCAGTGGGGTCAGGACCGAGACTTCGGGGCCCGGGGAGGAGGGGGCGGGAGTCGGACTCCTGAGTCCCGGAAGGAGAAGACGATGGGGTCGCTCTAAGGTAGCCCGAGGGATCGTGGCGGGCGGCTGAGGGGGTAGAGGCCTGACACCTGGACTGGGGAGAGAGGCGGGGTCGGGGAGGCCAGTAGGGGGCACGCTGGACCCGGGACTCAAATTCCGGTCCCGCCTCCGGGGGCGTGCCGCCCTGGGACCCATCAACTCCCGCCCCAACTTCATGCCCCGCCCCTGGAAACTCCGGGCCACGCCCCGCAATGCTCAGCTCCAGCCTTTGAACTCTTAGGCCCCGCCTCCCGGGGGGCGCCGCGCGCTCCGGAGCAGACCGCCGCGTTCCCGGGCTCCCGGGCCCCGCCCCGCGCCGCCAGGCCCCGCCCCCGCCGCGCCGGGCCCGCCCGCCCCGCAGGAGCCCGAAGCCGTCATGGGGACGCCGAGCAGCCCCGAGCTGGGGACCCCGTCGCCGCCCGTCCCGGAGTGCGACGCGGAGGTCCAGCCCCAAGAGCCCGCCCGGCCCCAGGGGCACCCCGAGGACTCCCGCGAGCAGGGGGCGCCCGAGGACCCGGCGGAGCTTCCGAGCCACCCGGGCGCGGAGCAGCAGGCGGACGACGAGGAGGACGTGGGAGAAGGGAGCAGTACCGAGAGCAGCCGCGACGCGGTGAGGGCCCGGAGCGCGACAGCCGCGGGACGCCCAGACGGACTCAGACCCGAACGGGTGACGGGCACGGAGGCAAGTGCAGGAACCTTGCAGAGACCCGGAGATGGGGGAAGACTAGACTCCTGAGAGACGGAGACCGGGACACCCAGCCACAGAGACAGAAACCAGGTGGACAGAGATCCATGCAGAGGCCCAGAGAACAGAGATAGACCCGAACGGTGACAGAGACAGAGAGACGACTCAGAGATAGGGAGACAGACCCAGAGATAGGAGAGACTACTGAAGAGACAGAGACCCGGACACGGAGCCAGAGAGACCCAACCAAGGGAGACCCAGAGACAGAGACATCCTCAGAGACAGAGACTCAGAGAGAGATAGAGAGACACACAGAGGAACCCCAGAAATAGAGGGCAGAGATGCAGGTGCCCAGAGAAACAGAAAAAGAGACGGAAAACTTGAGAGGAGGGAGGAAGAGATCTAGTGATTTGGAGACGGAAGACAGATACTGAGTTGGAGAGACGTGGAGGGGGGAGGACGGAAGGGGGAGAGGGAGAGATCCAGGGACTATAAGAAGGTGATGCCAAGAGAATGGGACCTGGACAGAGAAAAAGAGACACTTTCTCCCTGTCCTGCGACCTCTGGGGTCGGGTGGTCACCAGACCTGCACCCTCCCCCGCTCCAACCTGGAATAAAAGAGCCTCAGACCCATTGTGAGCCGGGGGTGGAGTTAGGCGGACTGAGACCCGCAGGGGGGAATGTGGAACGCGGACCAGACCTACTGGCGACTGCAGGGGCGGGGCTTCTCCGCTTGACCACGCCCTCTCCGACTTCAGCCCGAGGCCACGCCTCTGGTACAGGTCCTCCCAGCATCTCTCGCGTCCACCCCTTTTGGGGATGGGGTGCGAGGGGCGGCGCGGCGGCTGCGAGGGCAGCAGCTGGAGGCGCTGACTCGCGTGGCCCTGATGGAGCAGCGAGTGAAAGAGCTGCAGCGCCAGAAGAAGGAGCTGAAGATCGAGGTGAGGCTGGGACCCCTTGGGAAGTCTGAACCCAAGTCCAGGAGAACCCGCAAGGCCGGACTCCCAGCCCTTTCCTCCTGCGGGATCAGATTCTAGGCCCCCACCCAGCCCGTCCTCCCTCCAAATCCAGGTCCCTGGCTTCCGTCCTCCCTCCGAATTCAGGAGTTCAGACCCCTGGGCCCTCCCTCAACCCAGGCGTCCGAGCCGCCAGCCCTTGCGTTCTCTCCGCAGATGGAGGTGGAGGTGGCCCTGCTGCGGGGCGAGCTGGCCGGGGAGCGAGTGGCCGCTCGGCGGGAGGAGGAGCAGCTCCGGGAGTTGCTGGGGCAGCAGGTGGCCGCGGAGCAGCGGGAGCAGGTCTGTTTGGCCCGCTGGGTCTGCACCATCGGTTTCCTTCCTCGTCTGTCAGATGGGTATTCCTGGTGTGCTCCGGGGTTGTCCCCATTCCCCAAATGCGCACACATGGGCTCCAGAGAGGGTGGGAGCCAGGTGCCCCATCTTCTTTTCCTCCTCCCTCCCTGACTGTGAATTTTGGGGCCAGATGTACCAGGGCCTCTTCCTTTGCCTCGGAGCTCTTCGCTATTTAAATGTTGGCCAGGGGCTGGAGCACCTGTGATCCTTGCACTCTGGTAGGCTGAGGCGGGAAGTTCGCTTGAGCTCAGGAGTTGGAGACCAGCCTGAGCAAGAGTGAGTCCCCATCTCTGCTAAAAATAGAAAAAACTATCTGGGCAACTAAAAAAATAAATAAATAAATTAGCCGGGCATGGTGGCGCACGACTGTAGTCGCACCTACTCGGGAGGCTGAGGCAGGAGGATCGCTTGAGCCCAGGAGTTTGAGGTTGCTGTGAGCCAGGCTGACGCCAGGGCACTGTAGCCCCAGCAACAGAGCGAGACTCTGTCTCAAAATAATAATAATAATAAAAATATAAATAAATAAATGTTGGCCAGGTGCAGTGGCTCACGCCTATAATTTCAGCACTTTGGGCGATCCAGGCGGGAGGATCCCTTTGAGTCCACGAGTTTGAGACCAGCCTGAGCAAGAATGAGACCCTGTCTCTTTCTAAAAATAGAAAAGTTAGCTGGGCAGCACGGCTTGTACCTGTAGTTCCAGTTACTCTGGAAGCTGAGGCAGGCCAATCTCTTAAACCCAGACATTTGAGGTTGCAGTGAGCTATGATGATGCCACTGCACTCTACCCAGGTAACAGAGTGAGATACTGTCTTAAAAGTAAATAAATAAAACAAAACAGTATCATCATATCATTAGCTCGCCTGATTTCTCTCCCGAGGTCTAGATCTATGTGCCCTGCTTCCTAGGATGTTGCCTGCTAGGTGCTCCTTCCTCCCTCAGACCCAGAAATCTGGGTCCTTCTCATTCACCATATTCACAGCTGACCTCAGCAACTCCCTTCTCCACACTGTCTTGCTGTCCCTTTGGTCACCAGCCCAGAGTCCTAGACCTTGCCCTTCACACCTCCTTGTCCCTCACTCTCAAGCCTGTCAGTCGCCAGGTCCTTTCCTTTCTGCTCTTGCACCTCTCTCCCTAGTCCGTCTCTTTTCCATCCCCACTGCCCGGGCCATGGCTCAGGTTTCACCTTCACTGCTTGGAAGATGCATGAAGGAGCTTGTCCCCAGCCCTCTAATCCATCTCCCGGAGGGATGATTCCAAACCCAGGTCCAACTCCATCCTTCCAGTCTTTCCATGGCTCCCCATTGCCCCAGAATAAGGGCTTCTCAGGTTGACCAAACTCAACATGAGCTGCGTGTGCTGACCTCCCCACTGTCATCTCCCACCATGTTCCTTGTCTCTTCCCACCAGCAAGCACATCCTCCTCTGCCCTGCCCTGGCTGGGGTTTGCCCCCCAAACTTCCTGTACTTTTCAACTTTCATGCATTTGTGCCATGCTGTTCCCTCTGCCCAAATGCCCTTCCAGTTCCCTCTGTTTTCCCAGGTCTGGATGCTCCCTGGTTTCATTGCATTTCTTTTCTTTTCTTTCTTTGTAGGGACCACTGCAATAGGGTCTTGCAGCAGGGGAGAGAGATTGACTCAACTCCATTGCTCCCTGATTTTTGAGGCTCCCCTGGAAGTCCCCAAATCCAGGAAGCCTTCTTTTTTTTTTTTTTTTTTTTTTTTTTTGATACAGAGTCTCACTTTGTTGCCCAGGCTAGAGTGAGTGCCATGGCGTCAGCCTAGCTCACAGTAACCTCAAGCTCCTGGGCTCAAGCAATCCTCCTGCCTCAGCTCCCGAAGTCTGGGACTACAGGCATGCACCACCATGCCCAGCTAATTTTTTTTTTTTGATACAGAGTCTCACTTTGTTGCCCAGGCTAGAGTGAGTGCCGTGGCATCAGCCTAGCTTAGAGCAACCTCAAACTCCTGGGCTCAAGCAATCCTCCTGCCTCAGCCTCCCGAGTAGCTGGGACTACAGGCATGCGCCACCATGCCCAGCTAATTTTTTCTATATATATTAGTTGGCCAATTAATTTCTTTCTATTTGTAGTAGAGATGGGGTCTCGCTCTTGCTCAGGCTCGTTTCGAACTCCTGACCTCGAGCAATCCACCCGCCTCAGTCTCCCAGAGTGCTAGGATTACAGGAGTGAGCCACTGCGCCCGGCCCAGGAAGCCTTGAGTTACACTGGCAGACATTTCTCTCCCCCCCCCCCCCCTTCCGAGAGCCTAGTTTTAGATGTTCACTGCTCTGATCGTTGTGGGCTCTTACTGGCTGTGTCCCCACCTAGAGGACAGGACCCATGTCCAACCCCCCTCAGGGTCCCTAGTATCACACAGCGTGGACATGTTTGTGTTCATTCCTTCATTTGTTTCTCAAATAACTGTTTACTTGGCACCACTCTGGGGCAGACCTGTACCAGAGTGAAGCCAGACAGACAGGGTCCCTGTGCTCGTGGAGCTGACGCCCCAGGCAGGGGTCTAAGCTCCGACTGGCCTCTGTTTCCCTGCCTGCGCTCAGGCTGAGGCTGACAACCTGGCTGTTCTCTCAGGAACAGAGGCGGCTGAGCCAGGAGCGGGATCGCGTGGAGGGTCTGCGCCGGAGACTGCAGGAGGCCCAGGGGCAGCTCGACTCACAGCCGGAGGACCAGCGCGAGAAGCTTCTGCAGAGGGTGCAGGAGGTGAGGCCCTCTGGTGTCCAGGCCCCTCTTCCACCAGGACCCAGGAGTCTAGGTTCTGAGCCTCCTCACCCCCAGGACCGGGGGTCCTTCCTCATTGACCAGGAGGAGTCCTGGCCCCCACCCACTCTTCCCTGGACCCTTTGGCTCCCCCACTCACAGATGAGGGAGCAGCTGGACGTGGCCCAGCGTGCCTATGAGGACCTGGAGTTCCAGCAACTGGAGCAGGAGAGCCGGCAGGAGGAGGAGGACCGGGACAGCCCTGGGGCCCGGGCACCAGACCCCAAGGTCCAGGAACTTCAGGCCAGCGTGGCACAGCACAGGGTGAGTCACGCTGCACTGGCCCTGCCTCCCTTGCCATTCCTCTCCGTCTCCTCTGCTCCTTGTCTGCCCCTTTCTCTGTCCCCGTTTCCTGCCTGTGTCTCGTTCTTCAGAATAGTAACAATAGCTGATGCTCCTGGAACATTTGCCACGTGCCAGACATGGTTCTGGGCGTTTCATGAGTATTTACTCATCCAGTCCTTACAACAAACCTGTGAGGCAAGTCCTAGTATTTTCTTTTCCATATTATCAATGGTGAAACTGAAGGTCAAGGTGGCTTAAGTAATCTTTTCCAAGGTTGCTTAGTTCAGAAGGAATAGGTAGAGCCAGGATTTGAAGCAACTCGATCTTCTCCACTACGCTCTTTGCTTCCCAAACCCCGGTCCGAAAGGATGCTCCACGGGCTCTTCCTAGGAGCTCATGTTCAAGGTCTGCCCAGTCGTATGGGAAGAGGAGACGTGTTTGACTAATTTAATACAGAGTTTCCCAAAGTTTTGCATTAGAAAGCCATGCTGTGGGTCTCCTTTCCCCACTTCTATTTCTGGATCTTTTTCCTGTCCCTCCCTCTTCTCCTCTGTCTCAGATGGTTTCTGTCTGTTCTATTTCTGTCTTGTCTCCTTTCTCTGTATGTCTGTCTGTTTGGGTCTGTCTTGATCGCTGTTTTCTCTATGTGTTCTGGTTTGTCTGTCTGTCTGTCCCTCTGTCTGCATTTCCTCCAGTCCACCCCAGATCTCTTCTGGACCCCCAAAAGGGAAGAGGGCACCACGGAGCTGAACTGAGTTCCCATCCCGGGACACTCCGATCCCGTGGTCTCTGTGAGGGGGTGGAGCACACCCCGGCATTCAGGGAGGACCTGGGTTTGTGGAGGGTGGGCCTGGAGAGCCAGCCGGGCCCCTGGGGCTGCCGAGCGAGTAACCAGGGCAGTTGGGGGTGCCCTGCAGCGCCGTATCCAAGTCCTAGAGGAGCAGCTCAAGTCGCTGGGGGAGCAGAAGGCGGCCGAGAGCTGGGGGCTGAACCAGAAGAAGGAGGAGGCTCTTCAGGCCCTGACGCAGGTGAGCTTCCCGGCACCTGGCACCCTGTCCTCACCTCCCCCTGGGGCAACTCACCACCTCCCCGCACCCCAGATGTCTCCTGGCATCCGGGAAAGCAGCTGGGATGGCCCCTTCTGACTTTGAGATACAGTTGTCCCTGATGTCTCTGCGCAGGAACGGAGCCGGCTGCTCGAGCTCAACCGCCTGCAGGGGACACCGGGTGGGGACTTTTCTGAGCCCAACCAGGCCCTCACGAAGGTATGTGGATTTCATGGGCCCGTTACCCCTCCTCCCTCAGACCCAGGGGTCCAGGCCCCCAGCCCCTCCTCCCTCCAGACCCCTCCAGGTCCGGTGTGCCTCCCCCCTCTCTCCTGCAGCTGCTGTTCACACAGAAAACAGACCGCCAGCTGCTGGTGCTCCAGGACCCCACTGCCCGCGCCGCTGCCACCGCCACCTCCTCCTGCCTCTTCTCCGTCCACAGCTCCCTGCAGGTGCCTCCCCCACGGCCCCGTGTCCCGTTGTCTCGCTGGTCAGTGGGGAGGGAGGGGCTGAGAGCAGCGCCCCACACTGGGGTCTCCAGAACTCATGTCGGAGCGTAGGAGGAGGCAGGGAGGGTTGATCAAGGGGTATTTTTATGACTCCAGGTTTATTATTCTTTCTTTCTTTTGCCTAACACCCCACCCATCCCCTGGCAAAATAACAACACGTGCACCCGGGAGGAAATTTTAAAAACAACCAAACAGAGGCCTCCCAAGAAGCAGTGCAGCTACTTGTTTCTTAAGTATCTTTTCATACCTTAAAAAACTGGGGATCCCAACTTATCAATGGTTAGAACATTCACTGAATGGGGTTGCTTGCTACTAATTTTTACAAAATGAAGTAAAGTAGAAAATATGAGAGTGTGTGCACGAGGTAGGGGAGAATACAGGTTGAGTACCTCTCATCTGAAAAGCTAAAATCCGAAATGCTCCAAAATCTGCAACGTTTTGAGCACCAACATGACATTCAAAGGAAATGCTCATTGGAACATTAAAGATTTCAGATTTTTGGATTAGGGATGCCCCAACTCAAGTATTCCAAAATCCAAAAATATCAGAAGTCCTAAACATTTCTGGTCCCAAGCATTTTGGATGAGGCTTACTCAATCTATAGTAGATGAAAAAAAGGTCTGTTTCAGTTGTGTGGGTTCGTGGTAAGCACTTAGGAATTGGTGGGGCTTGGCTGGGCGTGGTGGTTCATGCCTGTGATCCCAGCACTTTGGGAGGCTGAAGCAGGAGGATCACTTAAGCTTTGATACCAGCCTGAGCAACATGGCGAGACCCCATCCCTATAAAAACTAGAAAAAATGAGCTGGGCATGGTGGCATGTGCCTGTGAGTCCCAGCTACTCTGGAGGCTGAGCCAGGAGGACCGCTTGAGCCCAGGAGTTTGAGGTTGCTGTGAGCAAGGCTGATGCCAGGGCATTCTAGCCTGGACAACAGAGTGAGACTCTGTCTCAAAAAAATTAAATTAAATTTTAAAAAGCCCTGCCAAATTGATCTCCATAAAGGTAATTCCAGTAGAACATTCTTAGCATCGTGTGAGAACATCTGGGTTTCCTACACATCCACCAGCACAGTGGATTTTGTTTAAAAAAGTTTTATTGAGATATAATTCATGTCCTATACAATTCATCCATTTAAAGTGTACCATTCTGTCTTTTAGGATATTCAGGGATGGATAACTATTACTACAATGAATTTTAGGACATCTTTGTTACCCCCCAAAAAGAAACTCTGAACCCCTTATCTATTACCCCACAAACCCCCAATCTCCCACACCCCCTGGCAACTGCAATTGTCCTTCCTGTCCTTCTGTTAATTTGCCTGTTTCGTGTAAATGGGGTTACACTCTGTGTAGTCTTAGCAACCAGCTTCTGTCACTCAGCATCACGGTGACAGGAGGTTTTTGGTCTGTGCCAATGACGGGGTGGTTTCACCCGGCAGTTTTTTTTTTTTGAGACAGAGTCTCACTTTGTTGCCCAGGCTAGAGTGAGTGCCGTGGCGTCAGCCTAGCTCACAGCAACCTCAAAGTCCTGGGCTCAAGCAATCCTCCTGCCTCAGCCTCCCAAGTAGCTGGGACTACAGGCATGCGCCACCATGCCCAGCTAATTTTTTCTATATATATTAGTTGGCCAATTAATTTCTTTCTATTTATAGTAGAGACGGGATCTCGCTCTTGCTCAGGCTGGTTTCGAACTCCTGACCTCGAGCAATCCGCCCGCCTCGGCCTCCCAGAGTGCTAGGATTACAGGCATGAGCCACTGCGCCTGGCCTCACCAGGCAGTTTTTGACTTGTGGTTGAGATCAAACGTGTTTCTTGTGTGTTTTCAGGGCTCCATTGGCCTCCAGAGGACCGGGAGCCTTCCCCGGAAAAGGGGAGAGAGGGCGAGCCAGAGAGGATCCTCTCGACCTCTGTCCCTCCACTGTAAGGGTGAGGACTCCGCCCCTGCCTGCCCTCTGCCCCCAGCAGCACCGCCCTGCAGAGGGTGGAGGAAACCGGCACAGATGGCTGCAGGGCGAGAAGGAGAAGGGCTGGGCCAGGGACCGTCCCAGCCCAGTAACCCGGTCCCCTCTCCCCCAGGACCCCTGGAGGCCTCAGCTCTCCCGCCACCAGTGGGGGACTCCAGCAGACACCCCCTCTACCAGCTGCTGAACTATGGCCCCGGGAATAGGTGAGACATCAGGGAGTAGGTGGGAGCTGTGGGGAAAAGGTCCTGCTACTAAAAGCCACCATCTTTGTTTCCTGCTCCTAGCTATGGGGCCCTCCACCCGGACATCGCTCACATGGAGAGGCTCCTGAAGCAGGCCGTGGCCGAGAGGGAGCGGCTGCTCAAGGCCAGGGTGAGGCCCCAGAGCGTCATGCTGAGGAACTCAAGAGTGTACCTGGGACCGGGTGTCCAGGCCCAGCCCCTTCACCTCAGACCAGGGGGTCCGGCCCCAGCCCCTCCTCCCTCAGACCCGGAGGTCCAGCCCCAGCCCCTCCTCCCTCAGACCCAGGGGTCCAGCCCCAGCCCCTCCTCCCTCAGACCAGGGGGTCTGGCCCCAGCCCCTCCTCCCTTAGACCCAGAGGTCCAGCCCCAGCCCCTCCCCCCTCAGACCCAGGGGTGCAGCCCCAGCCCCTCCTCCCTCAGACCAGGGGATCCAGCCCCACCCCCTCCTCCCTCAGACCAGGGGATCCAGCCCCAGCCCCTCCTCCCTCAGACCCAGGGGTCCAGCCCAGCCCCTCCTCCCTCAGACCCAGGGGTCCGGCCCCAGCCCCTCCTCCCTCAGACCCAGGGGGCCAGCCCCAGCCCCTCCCCCCTCAGACCCAGGGGTC